GCACAGCATGTTATTTTCACAAGTGAAGATGGTAGGGCCATTTATACGAGGAAAAATAAGACTCCTATGTAAGACGAAGACGCGAACTGTACCATTTATACGAGCATGTCTTATCTAATAAGACGCGTCTTAGCTAAGCCGCGTCTTATTTTAGACGAAATGTGCCGTTTATACGGAAAGTTCGCGTCCCGGGGGTTCGACGCGTCTTATGTAAGACGCGTCTTATTTTTCCTCGTATAAATGGCCCTATTATGTTTTCGCGCGAAAGCTCACTTGGTATTTCATTGGCAAATACAGGGGAACCTCGATATAACGAAGTGCCAAGGGACTGGGGGAATTTGTTTGTTGTATCGAGGGTTCCGTATATCGAAAACCTGATTTAACGAACTTTTGGGAAAACAAGCAAAATGTTCGTTATATCGACGTATAGTTAATGATTAATTTCCAACGCCCAGCATTTCCAGATCTGACCATTTTCTGTTATATGCGTTCGTATTGTCTCAGTTCAGAGCTGTACATAGCTACGGCACCTAGAAACACAAGAACAGGCAAACAAAACTACTTAAAACTACTGTAGACATAAAAATTATTCTCATTGGTCTGTTTCATCCAATCTTAGACTGCAACAGTCCGTATATTTTTGCGTATTCAAGTACGCGCGTGAAGTCAAACAAAAGATGACGAATGTGCGAGGCTGAAAACAGAGAGCTAGACTGGGGAGAGACTTTTTTTCCTCTCGCCTCGCACGCCCTAAGGGCGTGTGAGGCTCGCGCGCTTCGCGCGTGTATTACTTTTACGCCACGCTTTACCGATTTCTTTACTGATTTTGAGAAAAATACCCGACTTTTTTGCAGTCTAATACAACCTTTGTGATGGAAAAGGCTTTGATAAATACATTTCCAAAAAGTTTGTGACAAGTGATTAACTTTTATAGTCAATAAAAGTTATTTTAAAGTGTTTTCAACATCAAGTAAGGCTATTTTGTATAAGTCGAGCAATATTTCATTGGTATTCTAAAAAAGTTCCGCATTGCTTTGCTTCTTTGTTTGTTTTGACTTATGTTTTATTCAGTGTTGAAGTGGGCACATGATAGTATTCAAGCCTGGGAAACGATCCTTTGGAAGATTAATGTTCATAACTCCAATAAACTTGAAATGATCCAAAAAATAAATGAGAGCGAACTGTTTATGTACCGTGCCCTTTTTGCGCTGACCGATGAAATGATTTATGATAATTTACAGTCACGGTCGATTTGACGAACGCATTGTTATGCTCGCAAATAGCGATGCTAGACGATATACTGTTTTTATTCATAGACATTGTTCAAGGTTTAAATGACTACATCTTCCGCTATTAAAGACCACCAAAAGCAGACAGCGATTTGGAGTTAATGATATTCTTTGTAAAACACGTTTGGTGGAAATGTATTTTATTTTTTCAAAAGAAGCATAAACTGGCTCATAAACAGACCGACTGGATTTAAACAGATACTTGCACACAAAAGTTTCAAGTCGTGTAACCTGAAAAAAATCGAGCAGTGAATGAAAGTCATACACATTCCACGTTGCATTTGTTGCGAGCTGAGTTATTCTCATGGATGAAAAGAACGCCGAGAAAGAGAAGATAATTTTGCCTTCAGAGAGCGAAGATGAAGATTCAAAGGAATTTCGTGAACCCTGTGCCAGCTCGTATTTAGTCGAGGAGCGGGAAAGCTCCAAGAAGTCGTTGCCGCAAAAATTTCGAAAGCGCTGGACCCGAGCAGCACTATCGCTCGCAATAATCTCACTCATCGCCGTAATTGCTTTGAGCTTGGCGTCATTTATATCCTCAAAACAAACCGAAAGCTCGGCTGTTTTTGCAGCGGGCTTTGACGCTTTTTTCGCGGCTGTTAACGTGGTCGCAGTTTGTTGGAGATTTCGAGACGAGCTTAATGGAGATGTTGGATCATCAAGGGAGAGCAAGGCGACTTGTGTTATAGCTGTAACATTTATTTTGGGCGGAGTAGCAACTGTAGGCATCTCACTACATCATCTGAAAATCAAAGATCACCCAACAAAAACGGGAGAAATGATCATTCTTCTGATCACCGGATTTGTGATTTATACCGTCCTGTGCATATTTCAATGTAGAATTGCTTCAGCGATGCAAAGCCAATCTATGAGAGCTCTCTCGGTAGATTCCGGGCTTGGCGCAGTAATGAATGCTGGATTACTGGGTTCATCCTGGATTTATCGGCAACATACAAACCTCTGGTATCTTGACCACGCGGTCGCAACAGTTTTAGGTGTTGTTTCTACAGTATACGGAATTTATTTAGCCATACAAATTATACAGGTAAAGATAAACGGTGCAAAATCAATATCATTTAAAAGAGAAGGATTATCATCAGACCAAAATAATTAGAAAATGTCCTAAAATTTAGTATAATACTTTACTGGTGATCTAGCAGTCATATATGTACCTGGATTTTTGAAAACCGGGTTAGCAAAAATATCAACTCATTCTACTACTTGGCAATTTAAAACGATAAAACTCGTTCAAGGGCCGATTAAAAGAGTCCAAATTTAAAATGACCCAAATTTTATGATCTCTTCATACAAGTTACAGTATATACGAAAGTAGTAAATCACATCAGAAGGAAAACGGATAGTTCCTTTTTTTATAAATGACTTAAAAGTTTACATGAATCAAACCTACCGAAAAAAAGATATCTTTCTTGCTCTTTAAATAGCTGTAGAGTACGCTATTTATCAGAATTGGTTAATAAATTATAAAGGTGTTCACGCATAGACCGGGGAAACGTGTGGCCTTTCGTGTGGCCCTCCTATTGAGCTTCGAGATAATCGCTTGAACATAGCAATTTTATGTTCGTGTCGTCAGCACTTTGACCCAGACTCATGTTACAGTAAAAACATCTGTTATTAGCCTGAGTATCAGGCGTTTCTGTGGGAAAAGGGGAAAGATGGAAGCGAAATCTAAAACTTGAATCTCCTCTCCCCTAGCCTCTTAGGAAGGCCTAATATTCAGGCTAATCTGTTATCGACCGCTTGATCTCAGTATTTACATGTTTTGAAGTGGTAAAAAACGTGCCAATGAAAACAACTTGAGCTGTGAGTAATCTTTACTGAAACTTTTCGAGGTCGCAAAATGCAAACGATCTAATTCCTTTTTCAATAATTTGAAGAAAAATAGCAAAATGAAAGGAATGAAGAATCTTGAAACGTGTAAATATTTTAATAAATATTTTAATCGTGTGGCACAATGCGTTTTCGTGCCAACCATAAATTATAGATTATCGTCTATCGATCATCTCTATGTGTAGTCTCGGTTGAATAAGGCCCGTGTATAGTGATGAGTTTAGCGGGTTGTTTTCTCTTAAAATCTGTGCGCTGTCTGTTCTGGTTAACTTATCGTTTTCATGCAGTACAATATTTCTGTATAGTCTAGGGTTTATAGCCTGCGTTGCAGTCAGCCCACGCACTCGTCAAAACCAGGGCGGATAAAGGTTGGGCGGTGAAACTAGCGCGTCCGAGCAAAAAGGTGTGATGCAGTGGACTGGGACTCTGCTTAGAAATGTCGCTTGTTTTGGACTCTCGGTCAGGGCTTGCGATGTGGTTTGTACATTAGACACTGCCGCTGTCACTGAATTATGGCAGCTTGATTTGTTTTCTTGCACTTCTTCCTCGTTCCTTTGTGCTGGTACGCTGTCTTCGAGAGGCAAATGTTGCTATTTTTTGCGGGAGGTTTAGTTGGAGTAGACAAACATCACTTCCATGACTCTACCACTGAATTATATTTTCGTTCTGCTACTCGCCAATGTCGATGTTATTCCAAAACAAAAGAACTAAGTACTGTCTAAAACACGAAGGAAAATCTCATCCATGTCATTCATGGCAAAACTAAAAGACAGCAGATCGTGTTTCATTACTAGATGACGTGTATTTTATAAATGCGTGCAGCTCGTGCAAGGTGAAATTATGCTAATTTCAATCACCATCATCCTTCTTTTTAATTTTGAAGAAAACATCTCATACGTCTTTCTGTTTCTTCGAAACTTCAAAATTAGTTTCCCCTCAGTTTTTATTGTTTACCTTGTTTTGTTTTAGAGAGAAAAACGGAGAAAAAACCTTACAACTAACCTCAATAAATTTTGTTTACATGCGGTTGCCGGATTTGCAACGCATTGCGCGAATCGCCATGGCGCGTTGCACCTGAGAAGCAAACTTTGAAGAAGTACAACGCCACTATATCAATATATATCAATCTAATTTTTTGTTATATTATATAAAATTTATCCCCCTTTAACATATGTAAAAATTGAGGTTAAGAAGTGTTAAGCTTTTGCAAACGAAACGGCGAAAGACGATTAGGTGATATTTAGTGGAAGGAGGAGGTATTCAACACTTCAAATTAAACTCAAATTTTGGCATCATACGACCAACAAGTTTGACTTATAGACGTACAGACACAAACATATAAAACTGTTCATTGATATTGTTATGAAACAAATTTATCTATTTAACATTGTAGCCTGAAATTACAGAAAGAAAACAGGATTTCCGGTTTTCAAAAAGGTAAAATTTCGCAGGCCTTGAAGCGCACCGGAAGCGCGGAAAGAGCGCTCGTGCCAGTCCTACTCCGCATCACACATTAAATGAAGAGCGGAGCGCTCGTTTCACCGCCCAACCTTTATCCGCCCTGTCAAAACCGTTTGTATAGCTCGGGGATACAGAAGGCTTAGAGCCTCTGCGACGCAGGCAAAGGTTTTATGGCAGCCCAGGAAACGCCTTTCGGCGAGTCTAGTCTGACGTTATATTCTGCTTTGCATTTCTATTTTTTTCTAATGACTGACGCCTACTAGATTGACAAGGAAAGTTTCAAAGACAAGTTATAGATAATTGCACTATACTCAAGACGCCGAGAGCCTGTCTGTAAAAATCAGACAAATTCAAATTTTCGCGGCAAGGGTAGAAAATTCGATTTCTTTCATATTTTAATATTACATAGTGTATAACTAAAATCACTGTCTGTTTTTTTTGGTGAAATATCCTTTTCTTTCAGAGATAAATGCACATAACCAAAATTCGTTCAAATCGCGGCAGCACTAAAACATGGAATCCGCAATCCGGAAACGGAAACGGAATCACGGAAACGGAAACGGAATACGGAATCTGTGAAAGAAGGTTCCAAGCGATCGATTTGAAAAAAATATATATTAGCAATGACAATAAAGTAAACAAACAGATAAAAAAAGAAAAAGACAAATGAATAGATTAGCTGAGTAGAGGAGAGGAGACTGCTCTATCACTAGAGGGGTCGATTCCGGTGAAAAGACGCTTGATACCACTGTCGGCAATGAATGCAAATTCTCATGGGACAGCAAGGCGAGGAGAAAAACGTCACTGACAAAAACTAGTTCCTTAAGGAAAAGGTAAGTAATATGGAGAGAGACTTCGTTTGAATCGACAGAAGCGTCGCTTATATAAATGAAAGGCGCCGTCGTCAAGTTTTTCCTCAGTGTCTTTTCTGGGTTGTCTTCAATAGTGTTCAGTTTTATTTATCGAGACAACTTACTCAAGAGAACCATGGCATTGTGGAGTCCAAAGAGAAGAGAGAATTGTGCATGCATTTGCTTGATTCCGCAACTGATTACATCAAAATAATACGCCATGTTTAATAAGCCTCTTCAACAAAAATACGGACGTCCACGTAAACTCGATTACTGGTACACCAGTATGCCATCAGTATTCAGCTTGGCGAAAAAGTTGAACTTATTGCTAAAACACCGGAACTGTGGTCACGTCACCGGTCGGTCATGTGTGGAGTATTCAGTTTGGGGACAATCACGTGGTGTGGTCTGAGGCTAACT